TAAATATAGCCCTTTGAAAGACTTCAACTTAGATTACAAGTCTTCTATTTTTACATGGTCAGAAATTTTTTTTTCTATTTAAATCTTTTTTTTAATCTTTTTATTAGGGGTTCATACAACTCATCACTTTTCTGTTGCCCGTCCCCCAAGGAGGTCACATGTAGATCTTTGTAATCAGTTCCCCCTTTCCACCCCACTCTCCCTCTACACTCCTAGTATTGCCACTCACACCACTGGTCCTGAAGGGATCATCCGCCCTGGATTCCCTGTGTTTCCAGTTCCTATCTGTACTAGCGTACATCCATCCTCTGGTCATGATAGTGGGGAGGGTGGGGAGGAAGCATGTAAATCTCCCTTTGTGATTATTTCCTGGGAGTTACGTGTGCCTACACAGAGTGCTCCTTGTGCACATCTTTCAAATGTTTTGGGAAACGAGAAGAGGAAGAAAGGAGAAGCTGTATTTCAGGGGATATCAGTACTAGTACTAGTTGCCATTTGGTTGATCCCAGTTCTGTGACCCCCCTTGGAGTCAGAGTGACATTGTGCTCCATGGGGTTGGTTTTCAATGGCTGATTTTATGGGAGTACATTATTGGGCCATTCCCCGCCCCCCAGGTGCCTCTGGGTAGACTCGAACATCCAAACTTTCAGCTAGCTACATTCATCATTAAAAAAATACTCCTACTTAAAGGAATAAAACGTGACTGTGAGAGTAATCCATTTTTTCTGGCTAATCCAATTTCCAATTATTGAAGCATCAACAACAAATTAGCTATCTTTTGGTAAAGCCTGTTTATCATGTGAAAATTCTCACAAAATGTATAAAACCAAAGAAATTGCCAGTTCAAAAAATAGGTCTATGAAACTTAAGAAAATCTGATTAATTCACATCTATCAGAGAACACTTTTCAATAATAATTATTATTGAAAAAGATTCACCTGATGTCTTATACTATTTTAAAAAATTTAAATTCTTAATGAAATGCAACTTCTAGAAACATTACTTAGCCATCACTTGCTCTATTTTCTCGAGAATTTTAACCAATAAGGCAAATGGAATAAAATACCGTTATATATCTATTGTAGTACAATGCTCATAATAGGTGCTCAGTGAACTTGTTTTTAAGCTAACTTTGGTGTCGTTTGGTTCACCATGCTAGTCTTTTACCAGGCACCAGTGGCACCAAGCCACAGTAATTTTATCTGCTGAGCACTTTATGCCACGTCAGATATTTATAAAAATCTTTATTCAAAATCCTTATCAAGGGCCAAATATGTTAAAAGGACTCTCGGAAAAATCTGAAGCGACAACTAAATTGTAAATGAACCCGAGAGGAAGCTGTCCCTTACGGACGATGCCGATTTCTGTAGCGATAGCTCTGGTGAATACATTTATTTTCTCATTTATGCAAACTTATTCTCAAAATGTAAAAGAATCTTACTTAAAGGTATGCTTTTAGCGACGGTTTTCCACCTAGACGTGGTTTAACTATAGGGCTGTATTAAAAATAATGGTGTTCTGGTAGGCATTGGGCAGAGATACGGCTCAATGACATTGGGGCCCGTGTTCTCCACGCTCCCGAGCGGTTCTGGCACCTGCCTTGTTACGCCAGTGGTTGTAACCATGGCAACGGCCACGAAGATGCTCCTGACAGCTTCATGAATTTCTGAATTGCGGCCCTATCGCATTTCCAATCGCTCTGGTTTTGTATAGTATTTAAGTCCCTCGAATTCCTTCATGACATCGTCAGCCAAGGCTAGACGGGTTTTTTTCAATCCTCACAAAAGATTAGGAAGGAATAGGAAATTTACAAGTAACTATGGAGCCTCCCTCTTGCGTGCCAAGAGACGAAGGGGCACAGGAAACTGATCACGGGAACGCGCCGACAGACTCTGAAGCCATTACGATGGTTTCGGCCGTTACAGCAGTTGGCGGCAACTCGCCGCGTAGCGGCGGTTGCGTCGCGGCCCGACGCGTGACTCGGCGCACGATCCCTCTCGGAGTCCTCACTCCGCGGCGGGCGCGCGGGGAAACTACCGTTCCCGTGAGGCCTTGCGCAGCCCAGCGTGCTTTACAATAGAAACTCGGTCCGAGAAGCCCGCCGAGAGGGGCCGGGGACAGCCGCTTCCGGCATGTTCCGCTCCACCTCACGGTCCGCAGAGAAGCGGAGGGCGGAGGAGAGACTACAATGCCCAGCGGGCCGTGCGCGGGCTGCGCTTGCGCGATTCGCCGACGGGGGGGCGGTCGGGCCATTTAAATGTGTGTTTGTGGGTGAAATGGCTGCGCAGGTCGGAGCTGTGCGCGTAGTACGGGCGGTGGCGGCGCCGGAGGAGCCGGACAAAGACGGGAAGGAGAAACCCCATGTTGGGGCCTCGCCGCGGGGCGTGAAGCGGCAGCGGCGGGCGAGCAGTGGGGGCTCTCAGGAGAAGCGGGGGCGGCCGAGTCAGGACCCCCCTCTCGCTCTCCCTCACCGGCGGCGTCGCAGTCGCCAGCCTCCCGGGCCGCTGCCGCCAACGAATGCAGTTCCAGCCGTTCCAGGCCCTGTGGAGCCTCTGCTCCTGCCGCCTCCGCCGCCACCTTCCCTGGCGCCCGCCGTCGCTGCCCCGCTCCCGGCCCCGAGCACCTCGGCCCTTTTCACCTTCTCGCCCCTCACGGTGAGCGCGGCCGGGCCCAAACACAAGGGCCACAAGGAGCGACACAAGCACCATCACCATCGCGGGCCCGAGGGCGACCCTAGCTCCTGCGTCCCAGTCGATGTCAAGCACAAGGACAAGCAAGAAAACGGCGACAGGACTGTGGGGGTGCCTGTGATCAAGGCCCCCAAGAGAGGTGAGAGCGGGCCGACGGCCCCGGGCTTGGGCTCTCCGTCGCTCCCCGTTCGGATCTCCCGCCCCTCTCGTAGTGAAAGGCGCTCACCTCCTGCTGCCCTCCGCCCCTGACCCCGGTGGGATGGACTCGGGATTCCAGAGCGGTGACAGTTTCACCTCCTGGAGGCTGCTGCTTCCCAGGCCGAGCTGTCACTTTACCTGCCCCTTCCCCAGTCCCTGAGCCGCCACCAGCGTCTGTTTTCGAATTCAGCAGGGTTTCCGCGCCGCGCGGTGCGGTCCAAGGCACCGGATTAGCAGGTGGGATGATTAAAAAAAAACCCTGCCATTCTAAAATTCAGGCTTGTCGTCGTTAAAAATCCTTATCCTTTCTTCCCGCTCTCCTTGCGGGAAAGCTTTAAAAGGCACCCTCGCCCGCCGTACGGAGTTCAAATTCTTGCAGAGGTGACACGATTCCCTGATGGCCTAGCGTCTGCAAGGCAAAATCGCAACCCTCTTTGCTGGGTTCTTTTTTCTTTGGAGGTAAAGTCGTTTTGTCATACTGAGTTCTTAAGGCTAGAGATGGAGGGTGTTCTCCCTGGAGCCTCGCCTCTGTCAGAGGGAAGATGTGCGACGGCGTTTTTTTCCTGACGAGTACACACTTTGAGAACCTACTTATATTGTCATAACCCTGATTTCAAGAAAACCCAGAGCGTAGTTATCTAATTCAGTGTGGGTTCCAGAGAATTTAGGTTGACCCAAACTAGTATCTTCCCATTCCTGAGTTCGCTATCTGTAGCATGTTCTTGTTTTTTGTTTTGTGGAAGACAGGAGGGTATGAATTAATAGCCCTGGTGGTGCAGTGGTTAAGTGCTACGTAGTGAACTGAAAGGTCAGCAGTTTGAACCCACCCAGGTGCTCCACTGGAGAAGCGTTTGGCAGTCGGTCTCTGTAAAGATTACAGCCTTGAAACCTTGGGAGCTGTTCTCCCTGCCTTATAGGATTGCTTTGTGTAGGAATCTACTGCACCGCGGGTTTGATTTTTTTAATGTGTTTGGAATTAGTATGTGATTTTATGTAATTAATTGTATCTCCTCAAGAAGATTTTAAGGTACTTATATGTTTCTAAAGGAGCCCTGGTGGCATAGTGGTTATGCGTTATTGGGCTGCTAACCTCACGGTCAGCAGTTCGAACCCACCAGTTCCTGTGGGAGTAGATGAGGCTTTTTATTCCTGTAAAGAGTTACAGCCTGGGATATCTACAGGGCAGTTCGACCCTCTCCTTACAGAGTCACTATAACCAGAATTGACTGGAGGCCTGGAGTTTTGTTTTGTTTTGGTGTTTCTAAGTCCAGGCTGGGTTAGGCTGTTACATTAATGAATTAATGCTACATTAATTTCAGTCTAAAATTCTGTTATTCTTACATTCTTTGCATATATTTAGCCTTAACATGAGATTGTTGTTGTTGCTCTACTGCCAGATGTTTCAGTTTGTTGCGAATAATTACTCATGTAGTACCGAATTGAACCTCTCTTCCTTTCGTGTATCCAGATACTGCCCTCAGGACTAGAACTGGTGGCTGGCAGGAGTGCCATTTTCCTCCACTGCCACGCAATGGTTGTATTCTTTTTTCTTTATTTTCCACCTTCTCAGTTCAGATGTGTCTGTGTTTAACTCTGCAGAGCTAGAGGAAATCTGAGAGCTCGTCCAGTTTAAACTAATTTAGAGAGGAAACTGACCAAAGTAATGAGGGGACTTGTCAAGTCACAGCTAATTAATACCAAGAACAAAAATTTAAAACCAAAACTAAACATTTTTTTTTCAGTGAATCATCGACAAACTAAGGAGTGGAGCCCTTTGCTCTGGAATCCCCATTCAGGCTTCATTTCCCACAGTGTTGCTTTCCCTTTTTGCTACTAATTTTTTCCACTCTTGCTTACCTTTTTCCTGTGCTGTGGCATCTGTGTGAGATTACTTAATAAGCAAGGTTAGCACGGCCTTACTTGTGCTTACTTAACTAATGTGTTATGAACAAGTTCACCGTTTTTCACCACATCAAAGATTGCTTCTAGGCATGGCTGGCATCTTTCTCTTTTCTAACCCCCCCCATGGCACCTTCCTGAGAATCAAAGCCTTTTTTCACATTTACAGTCTTTGGTGGAGTGCCCAGTAAGAAAGGTCAGCAGAGGCTTGCTTGTTCTTACTTATTAATCTGTAGCAAACCGTGGTGAAACCCATGTAAGCCCGTAATTATCCTGCTTTGTGGGCAGTCCACCCCTGCTTCACATTGTAGTGACAGTGAGAGACGTCTGTCATCAAGACTCTGACTAACCCCCTTTGTGAGAGGGAAATGGCAGTGACGTATCATAATTCTCAGTGTGTTTTCTTGGGAGATTGCACAGGCCACATGCTCTTTAAAAGGAATGGAGACAAACCTCGAACCCAGCCCTGTCTACTAGGACTTCCATTCCTGCAAGTGTTGTTTAATATTGTAGCCACCGCGGCTCAGGAACTAGGCTTGTTTCAAATTAGTTTATAATGAAAAGTCACCTTATGGCTTAACGACTCCACATTGCATAGTACACCTCAGAGCACTGGAAGTTGGCCAGTAAGTGAAGAAGAAAGATGGGGCCATTTAAACATTTTAGTTTTGGGCTGAGAAACTGCTAGGTGATGAAGACTGAGGAGAGCGTTCCCTAGCCAAATGTGTTCAAAGAAAACATGCTATGTACAAGTGACGCAGAAGGGTGTTTCAAGATCCGAGACCCCACAGAAGGTAAACTTGTTTACCCTTGTCTAGTTCAGACTTTTCCACTCAGTGACCAGACCCTGCCCCCACCCTTTCTGTGACCACCTCTGTACTTGTTATTGTGGTATACAGAAAGCTTGTTTCTACAATCAGTCTGTTTAAATCTTGGCTCTGTCCCTTACGATGTGACCGTGGACAAATAATCTCTCGCTACCGTAGTTTTCCTCTCTGTAAGGTGAGGTTGTAGTATTTCTTTATAACATTATGTGAATTAGATGGAGCAATATGTGGAAAACACGTAAAATATGCCTAGCTGATAATAAACACTCAATTACTGTATATACTTGAGTATAAGCCGACCCAAATATCAGCCGAGGCACCCAATTTTACCACAAAACTGCATTAAAAATGTGCTGAAAAACTCAGCTTATACTCTAGTATATGTGGTAACAATAGTTTTTATTTTGTCATGTTTGGCCCTTAAAGCAATTTTAAGATTAATAAGGAGAATGAGTAGACCTTTGCCTATTTTCAGATACCATTGTATTTTATAATATTCTCAAGAAAATAGTCAATAAATTTTTAAAAAATTAAGTGGCTCCATATAATACTGTCAAATTGGATATTGGACAGTCAGAAAAGTTCAGGGGTGGGCAAAATCTGTTTTTTTTTTGAGATAGAGATTCATAGGAAGTTGAAAAAATACTATAAAGACATATGTACCCTTCACATTTTCTGCAATGGCTACATCTTGTTGATACACAAAATCAACACCAGGAAATTGATGTCGGTACAATGCTTGTATCATTCTGTTCTATATTTTTTATCAAATACATGTAGATTAGTGTTACCACCACTGTAATCAAGACACACAACTAGTCTAGTTCATCACTGCAATCATTTCCCTATGTTTATCCTTTTATAGTCATAAGCATTGACTTCCTCCCAATTTCCCCAACCCCTAACTACTAGTAACCGCCGTCTGTTCTCCGATTCTATACTTTTGTAATTTCTAGTATTTGTATAAGTGGACTGGACAATGTGTGATCTTTTTTTTTTTGAAATTGCCTTCATTCAGCATATTGTCCTTGAGATACATCTAAGTTGTTGTGTGTCTATTGCTGAGTAGTATTCCTTCTCCTCTCGTGCCCCCCCCCAACTAAGAGAGTTTATTAGGGGTGCTAATAGGTTCCCACAAGTCAGGATCCATAAATAGGAAGGATCAATCAATCAAAAAACCTCTCCTCAGCCAGCAGCCAAGTTTCTTTCTGGTCCTTAGCCTCTCAGCCATATGGTCCTTTGGCCTTGGCCACCGGGGTTCAGGAAGCCCACCTTTTGCGCTGTCCATAGTCTTGGGCCAGATGAGGAGGAGACAAGACACCCCATAATCTCAGCACTGTGTCTTTGCCTCTGATCTTGGCCTTCACTATTTTTTTTTAATTAAAAGTTTGTTTTATTTTTAAAAATCATTTTATTGGGGGCTGAGTAGTATTCCATGGTATTGGATGTACCACAATTTGCTAAACCATTCTTTTATTGAAGGGCATTTTATTTATTTATAGTTTTTAGCTGGTACAAATCAAGGTTTTTTTTTTAATATAAATAAAGATTTTATGAACATTCACATTCAGATTTTCGTATGGATGTAAATTTTTATCATAAGAGAATGTAATTACTGGGTCATATGATTAAGCGTATGCTTAGGTTTTAGAGAAATTTCCAAACTATTTTCCAGAGTTCCTGTAACTTACTGCATTCTCCCCAGCAGTATGTGAGAGAGCCAGTTTCACGGTACCCTTTCCAGGAATCTGGTATTGTCACTGTTTTTGGTTTAACTCTTCTAATAGGTTTGTAGATAGCTTATCGTGTCCAGTTTGCATTTTCTAATAGCTAACATTAGATCATTTGCCATTTATCAATTCATGTCAGTAAAATGTTTTTCATTTTCCCCTAATTTCCTACTTGGGCTGTGTTTTTGTTTCAAGAGAAAAGCTTTCTGATTTTATAAAGAGCTACAATCTCAACAATAATATAGAATTGATCAAGGATTTATGAGGATGGGAGGGTGGGGAAAATGGAGCTGATATCAAGGGCTCAAATAAAAAAATGTTTTGCAAATGATTATGGCAACATATGTAGAAGTGTGCTTAATACAATTGAATGATGGATTTTTATAAGATTTGTAAAATCCCCCCAATAAAATGATTAATAAAAAAAAGTTTAAAAAAGCTACAGTGCAATCTTGAATTAGCTCTGAGGAATTTCAAAAAAATAC